GCTCCCCGGAATCAAACCTGCGACCTTTCAATCAACAAGCTCAGCAGCTCAGTGCTTTAACCCACTGCGCCACTGTGTGTTATGTGTTTCAAATTATGCTACTTACAAACAGTTAAAATATTTACAACATTAGTGACTAGCAGTTTTAAGGTCTGGCTTCTTACACATCTATGGTAGACATCCTCAAAGGCTGTGAGGTCTGTTGGAAACTAGGAAAATTGGGTTAATATATCTGCGGAATATCCAGCGTGGGAGAAAGAACTCTTTGACTATTGGAGGTAGGTGTGAATGTTGCAATTAGGATTTAATGTCCTAGCAAGTTTCAAGGTTTGGCTTCTTACTGCCTGGGGGCATCCTTCTTTGGGAGGTGATTAGCTGGCCCTGGTAGTTTCCTGCCTGGAATTCACGTTTTTGAATGTTGTTCTTTTATTTACTGTTATGATTTTAGAGTTTTTCTAAAAATACTGGTAGCCAGATTTTGTTCATTTTCATGATTTTCTCCTTTCTGTTGAGTTTGTCCACATTCTTGTGGATTTTAATAGCTTGTAATCTGACATGGTGGTTGTGAGAGCGGTCCAGCATTTCTGTGTTCTCAAATAATATACTGTGTCCAGGTTGGTTCAGCGGGTGCTGTGCTATGGTTGACTTCTCCAGTTGAATCAGTCTGCAGTGCGTTTCATGTTCCCTGATTCATGTTTGGGCAATGCTGCTGCATTTGGTGGTCCCTATGTAGAAACCATGAAAATGAACAAAATCTGGCTACCAGTATTTTAAAAAACCTCTTAAAATCGTAACATTAAATAAAGAACAACACTTTATTTAATGTTACAACTGTTTTCTCCATATCTTTTATCTCTGACATTTTATCAAGCCATTGCTCTATTGTTGGGGTCTGTTCGGCTTTCCAGTGTTTGGCAAAAGTTATTCGGGCAGCTGTAGTAATGTATGTAAATAAAATGTCCTCGTTCCTATTTAAATTTAATTCTTTATCCGTTAGCCCTAAGAGGAAGTATTCCGGCTTGTATGAGATCATTCTTTTAAAAATCTTTTGGGTCTCTTTTTGTATGCTTCTCCAATAATTAGTTACTTCTGGGCAAGTCCACCACATGTGGTAAAAACTTCCTTTTTGTATTTTACATTTCCAGCAGTTACTCTGGTTATTTTTGTACATTAAACTAATTTTTTTTGGGGGGGGGGGGCGACATGTACCATTAGTGGAAGATTTTCAGCCAGTTTTCTTTGAGGTCCGTCGAATAAGTATACACAGGAACTTCTCGGTGGTGACTCCCCACTTGTGGAACTCATTCCTCAGCGAAATTAGATTGGCATCCTCCTTCCTTTCCTTTTGAAAGAACTGAAATCGTGGTTGTGAAACCATGCCTTTGGCTAGCAGGCATAACGGCACTTTGTACATTGAATTGGACCATATGATAGTTATAATAATGGAAATGGCTATATGATTGTATAACTAATGTTATTGTTTTTAATATATTGTGTATTTATAGTTTTATATTGTTGTTACATTGCGATATTGTGGCATCAAATTGTTGCCAGTGTTAGCTGCTCTGAGTCCCCCCTCGGGGGTTGAGAAGAGTGGGGTAGAAATGTTGTAAATAATAAATAAATAAATTTACTTTTAACTTTTACATTCCCATCACCCCCCAAACATTTCCCAAGTTCTCGTTTCCAGGACTTTGCCTCTTCTTCCACTTAAGACAGTGGAAGAACAGCCACAAACGCCTCCAAACGTAGCAAATTCTGGTCTATGTGTTTACAGAATCTTTCATTGGCTTCACAGAGGATATATTGGATTGTTTCTTTTTTTGTCGCAGTCATATTTTTCCACCAATCAGTTTTCTCCCCCGTTGTTCTGTTTTCCTTTTTGAAAATGGAGAGTGCCAAAGCATTAGGTGGAGTAGAATAACTTTGTTTATACCCCGCCTCATCTCACCAAAGGGACACGGAGCAACTAGAAGGGTGATATTGTTTGGCTTTCCTGAGATTGTTACTCTTGGCCCAGAAAGCTTTCTTTTCTTGGTTAATAGGAAGGAAATGCTAACAATTGTGGCTTTTCTGATAGGTTCTATAATGTCATCTGTTTCTCTCTGCAGGTCTTAGTGTAGATCTATACAACAGGAAAATAGGTTTTGTTTAAGATAGATGGCAGTGAAGATTTTTTTAAAAACACATTCTGCCTTTTGTAACTGGCATATGTTACATTTATGTTTTTCCATATTTGCTGTTGTTTCATATTGCTTAATTATATCAACATTTGAGAATTACCTTGTCTACTTTATAGCTTGCGTTACTGTCAGATTACGTTTGTACAGGTAAAAAATTGTTGGAGTGATTACTGATTTGATTTATGTTCTGCCTTTTTCGTAGAGTATGACTCAAATCAGCCAACAAAGATAAAAACTGATCCAAAATGGATTAGAAACACAAATTAAAAACCTATCAGGAAAAAGAGATCATCCACCCAGCTAAAATGTACAGTGAACCCACTTAATTGACAAAGAGCTGCCTGAATAAAAATATCTTTGCCTACTGATAGGAATGAGGCACCCTAAGCTCCTTTCAAAGCAATTTCACAACTTAGGAGCAGCCATAGAGAAGACACTTTTCTTGGGTCTTCACCAAGTGTGATTCTAACCAGGAATGGAAATCACATCCCTATAGAATCCTAGAGTTGGAAGAGACCTCTTGGGCCATCCAGTCCAACCCCATTCTGTCAAGAAGCAGGAAAAGCACAATCAAAGCATCCCTGACAGATGGCCATCCAGCCTCTGCTTAGAAGCCTCCAAAAAAGAAGCCTTCATCATATTCCGGGGCAGAGAGAGAGAGTTCCACTGTTGAACAGCTCTCTCTCACAATCGGGAAGTTTTCCTCAAGTTCAGGTGGAATCCCCTTTCCTATAGTTTGAAGCCATTGTTCCTTTGTGACCTAATCTCTAGAGCAGTAGAAAACAAGCTTGCAAGAAGTGCACCAGGAACGTCCTTGCTATATTTTCAGCCCCTGGAGTAGTAGGCCCTGGTGGCACAATGGGTTAAAAACTTATGTCTACAGGACTGCTGACCGAAAGGTCAGTGGTTCGAATCTGAGGAGTCGGGTGAGTTCCCATTTGTCTGCTCCAGCTTCCCATGCAGGGACATGAAAGAAGCCTCCCACAGGATGGTAAAACATCTGGGCATCTCCTGGGTAACAACCTTGCAGGCAGCCAATGGTCTCACACTAGAAGTGACGTGTAGTTTCTCAAGTTATTATTTATTATTATTATTTCTGGTATTTCTATCCCGTTTCTTCTCAACCCCCCGAAGGGGGACTCAGGACAGCTTACATATGGCAGCAGTTCGATGCCACTATATATATAACAGAGCAATATAATAACAATTAAAACAATAAGTAAAACATTCATTAAAACAGTAAAAAAAAACAAACAGTATTAATAGCCATATCATCATTCCAGTCAATTTCATGTTCAAAGTGCTATCTATGTCTGTTGTCCAAAAGCCTGGTCCCTAAATGACCAGAGGGACGGAGCCGATCTTACCTCAGTGGGAAGGGAATTCCACAGGCGAGGGACCATAGCCGAGAAGGCCCTGTCTCGTCTCCGCCAGACGTATTTGTGATGCTGGCAGGAGCGAGAGTAGGGCAACCCCGGATGATCTTAAAATGTGAGGTGGGACGTAGAGGGAGGTGCATATGGACAAGTAGCTGGGCCAGAACTGTAGGGATATTAGAATATCCTTCCCTTCAATGAGCAGTTGGGCTTTATTTCCTGAAGTATGGACTGGTTGGATCTTCTCGTGGTCCAAGGCACTCTCAGAACATTCCTCCAGCACCACAGTTCAAAAGCATCTATCTTCCTTCGCTCAGCCTTCCCTATGGTCCAGCTCTCACATCTGTAGGTTACTATGGGGAATACCATTGCTTTTACTATGCGGATCTTCATTGCCAGTGTGATGTCTCTACTCTTCACTATTTTATCGCGATTGGTCATTGCTCTCCTCCCAAGAAGTAAACGTCTTCTGATTTCCTGGCTGAAGTCTGCATCTGTAGTAATATTTGCACCTAGAAATACAAAGTCTGTCACTGCCTCCATCTTTTCTCCCTCTATTTGCCAGTTATCAATCAGTCTGAAAAACTGATTGCCATAATCTTGGTTTTTTTTAATGTTTAAGTGCAACCCAGCTTTTGCACTTTCTTCTTTCACCTTGATTAGAAGGCTCCTCGGCTCCTCCTTGCTTTTGGCCATCAGAGTGGTATCATCTGCATATCTAAGGTTGTTAATGTTTCTTCCAGCAGTTTTTACCCCAGCCTTGCATTCGTCAAGCCTTACACATTGCATGATGTGTTCTGCATACAAGTTGAATAGGTTGGGTGAGAGTATACAGCCCTGCCGTACACCTTTCCCAATCTTGAACCAGTCTGTTGTTCCATGGTCAGTTCTTACTGTTGCTACTTGGTCCTTATACAGATTCCTCAGGAAAGAGACAAGTTGATTTGGTATGCCCATCTCACCAAGAACTTGCCATAATTTATTATGATCCACACAGTCAAAGGCTTTAGAATAGACAATAAAACAGAAATAGATGTTTTTCTGAAGCTCCCTGCCTTTCTCCATTATCCAGCGGATATTGGCAATTTGGTCTCTCGTTCCTCTGCCTTTTCTAAACCCAGCTTGTACATCTGTCAACTTTCCATGTATTGCTGGAGTCTTCCTTGCAGGATCTTGAGCATTACCTTACTATCATAAGAAATAAGAGCCACTGTACGAAAGTTTAAACAGTCTTTAGCATTTCCCTTTTTTGGTATGGGGGTATAAGTTGATATTTTAGAGTTATATAGGGCTTTATAGGCCGTCATCAGCTCAGCATTGTGAAGTTATCCCTTGTAAAACCGTCCGGCAACTCATGAAGCTGTTGTATGAAGAATGAGGGAGGAATCAGTAAATGCAATTCTGTATTTAAATGTTTCTGTTTTTACTTCTTTCTTTGTAGCTGAAGAGGTGGATCAACCATCACAGGATACTGGAATTGTGACCGATGTTCTGGAATCTGGTGACACAACCCCTCCATCAAAGAGAAGGAGCAAGTTTGCAGGTTTTGGCAAAATCTTTAAGCCTTGGAAGTGGAGGAAAAAGAAAACCAGTGGCAAGTTCAAGGAGACATCAGAAGGTAACAAACCAGGATTCACTGATACTTTCTTCTCCATCCCAAGCAGATTTGTGTGTGTGTGTGTGTGTGTTGGAAACACAGGGAAACTCTGCCCTTTTCAACTCACAGGGCAAAAGATAACAGAGGCAGCATATCTCAGATCTGAGCAACTATTACTAATATACAATCTACATCTGGACATTTATTCCAGTGATTCTTCCTCTGCTGCCTCTCTGAAGTTCTGTATGCCACAAACCATTCTGGAAGTGGTAGTCCAAAAAGTAACTTTCTCAAGCTCTGATAACACAAGTCTGTTGAAATTATGTAAACTGTAATATCCAACATTTGCAGCCAACATGGGCATTGTATTCCACCACATCTGTGTTGGAATTCAACCCCACACTGCCCAAGTCTCGAGCCCTCAATGAGGAGAAGTTAGTTAGCATTGGAATAGTCTGACAGTTTACCTTCTTCCATGTATCCTGTATGACAGTTGGGAATATATCTTTTTCTTCTCTCTTTCTGCTCTCATTCTGATTGGTTGTTTAAAATGCATACTTTTCTACTGCAAGCTTTTTGAATCTGACTTCTGCCTTCTTACACTTGAGTATGGAGAGTATGTGCTGTGTGCTTTGAGATCTCTCTGCTTGTGTGTCAGGAAAGATGTAGTGATAGGTTATTTTCCCCTCTCTTTGAACTTTACAAGAGATGGGTGTTAGAGTAGCTCAGACCCAGTTCTATTAGGACAGGGGTCCTCAAACCTTAAACAGAGGGCCAGGTTGCAGTCCCTCAAACTGTTGGAGGGCCGGATTATAATTTGAAAAAACATGAATGAATTCCTATGCACACTGCACATATCTTATATGTAGTGCAAAAGACACTTAAAAACAATACAATAATTAAAATGAAGAAAATTTTTAACAAATATAAACGTATTAGTATTTCAATGAGAAGTGTGGGCCTGCTTTTGGCTGATGAGATAGGATTGTTGTTGTTGTTGTTGTTGTTGTGTGCTTTCAAGTCATTTCAGACTTAGGTTGACGCTGAGCAAGGGCCAGGTAAATGACCTCGGAGGGCCACATCCGGCCCCGGGGGCCTTAGTTTGAGGACCCCTGTATTAGGAAATGTATTTAGTTCTTTATTATTGTAAATAAACCTTTTGTGATTTTTTAAAAGATTGAGCTCTGCCTCTTGCCTGCCTAAGCTCTGAATTCTTTACAGCCACATCACATGGCACTTCACGCTTTGCTCACTAATGAGCTGATGTTCAACTTTTGTATCTTGCTTGTTTCTGGATGCTCTACTTTATTTTAGGTTAGTTTTCCCCCTAACAATCTGAAGTCCCCAAAGCTTAGCCTACTCCTTAGATCAGTGTTTCTCAACCTTCCTAATGCTGCAGCCTCTTAATACAGTTCCTCATGTTTCCCAACCATAAAATTATTTTTGTTGCCACTTCATAATTGTAATTTTGCTATTGTTATGAATCGTAATGTAAATATCTGATATTCAGGATGTATTTTCCTTGGACCAAATTTGGCAAAAATACCCAATACGCCCAAATTTGTATACTGGTGGGATCTGGGAGGGGGATTGATTTTGTCATTTGGGAGTTGTATAGTTCACCTAAAATCAGAGAGCATGCTGAACTCCACCAACAATGGAATTGAACCAAATTTGGCACACAGAACTCCCATGACCAACAGAAAATACTGGAAGGATTTGGTGGGCATTGACCTTGATTTTGCAGTTGTAGTTCACCAACATTCAGAGAGCACTATGCACCCAAATAAGGATGGATTTAGACCAAACTTTGCATAAATACTCACTATGCCCAAATGTAAACACTGGTGGAATTTGGAAAAAATAGACTTTGACATTTGGGAGTTGTAGTTGGTGGGATTTATAGTTCACCTACAATGAAAGAGCATTCTGAACCTCACCAATAGAATTGAGACAAATTCCCACACAGAACCCCTATGGCCAACAGAAAATCCTGTGTTTTCTGATGGTCTTTGGTGATACCTCTGACACCCCCTCGTGATCCCCCAGGGGTCCCGACCCCCAGGTTGAGAAATGCTGCCTTAGACTGATACAGTCTTCCTTTGTCATTAAAAAACAGACTCAAGAAAGCTCATTTTAACATTAAATAAAATAGGTTCCAACCACTAAGATGTAATTGAATTGCCATTATAATACCCTTTTGATACTCATTTAACAGATGATGGGGAAGCACCTGTAGTACAGTTAATAAAAAAAACCAGTAATGTTGTCCCACCCCAACCCCAATCTCATCCTGGCCTGTATTCTGAAGTGCTGTTTCTTTCCTTTCAATTTAATGCCAGTTTTAGAGCGAAAGATTTCAATGCGAAAGCCCAGAGAGGAGCTCATTAAAAGAGGCGTTCTGTTGGAAGATCTTGAACAGGGTGAGTTTTTACCCCTTGTTTAGAGGACCTCCATATATTTTGCTTTGCCGTGAAGACACTTCTGGATGCCTTCCTCACCTGTCCCACTGCTATTTTCCTCCTTCTGTACCCAATGTGATGTTCAGTCCTTCTTCTGCAGTTTTTAGAGTGACGCTTTAGTCCAGGCATGGACCAAATTGGGCCCTCCCTTCAGGTGTTTTGGACTTCACCTTCCACAATTCCTAATAGCCCACCTGGAGAGAGGGCCCAAGTAGCCCGAAAAACCTACAACCCTGTGTTCAAGCAGTTGGAATCCAGAGTGAGGACCTCCCATATGCCATTGAGGCCCAGCCATGATGCAGGAACTGTAGCAAGGGAAAGTTCTTCAAGTTTCACAACAACCTTCCTTGTGTTGGGTTGGGAAAGGGAAGAGAGAAATAACCAGAGCTTGAAAAAATTACTTTCTGGGATTACAGCTATCTTGGCCTGTGGCCACGCTCTTTGGGAATTCTGGGAGATGTACAAAAAAAGGAAGTTGTTATTCTTAAGTAAATAACAACTTCCTAACTTAATGATATTGAACCTCTCCTATTTAGCTCTGAGAATAGTTGTGACGCTACCAAGCACTCTTGCTTTGTTTGCTTTAGGACCTTTTGCTTTGTTTGCTTTAGTTTTCTTTCTGGAGGATGAAAAGCATTGCTGGTGCTACTCATGAATTGCTGTTCCGCTATTAATTCCAAGTGGAATTGTAATTGATTTTTGAGATATGAATGTCTTCTCATTATATTGGTCTTTTAAATTGTTGTTTAATACATATTTGTACCACTTTAAGCTGGGCTCAAAAATTACTCTTATGTAACAAAATTTGAAGGTAAAAAATCCTGTTCCTGGTTTGAAAGTGTTCTTTCTTGTTTAATTGTATGGTCCTTACTTTGAAAGTCATTTATACTCCAGAAACTTCATTTTTGTGGCTGCCATAAACTAGGTTGAATTGCTTGAGACTGATGAGATATTCATTGAAAAACTAGAGCAAAATGTGCTGCTGCAAAATGCGCTGCTGCAGATACAGAATGGGGGACAATGCCTGGCTCGAGAGCAGTACGTGTGAAAAAGATCTTGGAGTCCTCGTGGACAACAAGTTAAACATGAGCAGTGTGATGTGGCGGCAAAAAAAGCCAATGGGATTTTGGCCTGCATCAATAGGAGCATAGTGTCTAGATCTAGGGAATTTATTATTTATTTATTTATTTAAAAGTTTTGTATGCCGGCCTTCTCACCTCTCTTGAGGGACTCAGACCGGTTTCCAACCATAATATCACATACAGTCAATAAAACATCATAATACATATTACAGTAAAACATTAAAACAGCAATTACAATCAATAACTATAATGGTCAGTCGTCACACTAAAATCATTGCTCATCATCCTCCATCCATATCTCAGGGTGTTGGCTCACTCGTCGAATGCCTGTCTCCATAACCAAGTCTTCACCTGTTTCCTAAATGTCAGGATAGAAGGGGCGGTTCTGATCTCCAGTGGGAGAGAGTTCCAGAGTCGAGGGGCCACCACCGAGAAGGCCCTGTCCCTCGTCCCCACCAGACGCGCTTGCGAGGCCGGTGGGACCGAGAGCAGGGCCTCTCCAGACGATCTTAATAATCTTGATGGTTCATAGGGGAGCATATGTTAGATCTAGGGAAGTCATGCTACCCCTCTATTCCGCCTTGGCTAGACCACACCTGGAATATTGTGTCCAATTCTGGGCACCACAATTCAAGAGAGATATTGACAAGCTGGAATGTGTCCAGAGGAGGGCGACTAAAATGATCAAGGGTCTGGAGAACAAGCCCTATGAGGGAACTGGGCATGTTTAGCCTGAAGAAGAGAAGGCTGAGAGGAGATATGATAGAGGGCCATGTATAAATATGTGAGAGGAAGTCATAGGGAGGAAGGAGCAAGCTTGTTTTCTGCTGCCCGGGATACTAGGACGTGAAACAATGGCTTCAAACTATAGGAAAGGAGATTCCACCTGAACATTAGGAAGAGCTTCCTAACTGTGAGAGCTGTTCAGCAGTGGAACTCTCTGCCCCGGAGTGTGGTGGAGGCTCCTTCTTTGGAAGCTTTTAAACAGAGGCTGGATGGCCATCTGTCAGGGGTGATTTGAATGCAATATTTCTGCTTCTTGACAGGGGGTTGGACTGGATGGCCCATGAGGTCTCTTCTAACTCTTTGATTCTATGATTCTATGCAGGATGATGCTCCTCTCATGTAAATGGTTTAATATTTTCCATGTTGTTATGACGAGGCCAATTAGGAAATTACATTGTTAAACCAGGAACAAAAATCGTGTTACATAGTGTTATTTATTCAGCATTGTTGGAAATGAACATGACATTGGTGTTATAGACAACACTATTTTATAATCAGCACAATGTAATTTATTAGCATTTTAACATTTAATCGGCACATTATGTATCTTGTCAGGGCCATTAGATGAATGCATACATCTGCCTTTAATTGGCTCGAAAATGCTCCCCCCCCCCCTTTTTTTTAATGGAAGAGAAATATAGCATTGTCACACTTGTGGTGTAATATTTTTCTTTTATTTTCTTGTGCGTTATGTGTCATAATGCTATAATCCAATAATACCAGAGTGGAATATTATATTTAGCAGGAGCGGGCAAAGAGCAACCTGTAGGCAGCATGTTATCCTCCAGGGCCGTCTAGTGTCGAGAAATGTTTTTGGGGGAAATCATGCCCCAGATGCCATCTAGTGGCTTTTGTTTTAAGGACTAGTTGATCCAAGCCTCATTTAAAGGTCAAAAGCCTAGGAAGCTCTTTTGATGCAGAGGAGCTTTTATCACAAATTTCCTCCAGCAGTTTGCATTGTTGTTGTTTTTAATTAAGAGAGTCAAGAACAGCAGGAGAACCAGACAGGAGGTGGGGGATTCCTGTGTTACTGTTGGGGTTAAAGTTGTGGACTAAAAAATTTAGCTGTTTTGCACTCTAACTCCTAGAGCCCCATTGAAATATGGAGCTGTGGTGGCGCAGTGGGTTAAACCGCTGAGCTGCTGAACTTTCAGATCAGAAGGCCCCACTTATCTTCGCAATCGCATCTCCCTCTATGAACCAGCGTGAACTTTAAGATCTTCCGGGGAGGCCCTCCTTTCACTCCCACCACGGTCACAAGCACGGTTGGTGGGGACGAGAAAGAGGGCCTTCTCGGTGGAGGCCCCCTTCCTCTGGAACGCCCTTCCTGGAGAAATAAGACAGACCCCATCCCTCCCCTCTTTTCGTAAGAGCCTGAAGACCTGGTGATTTAAACAAACCTTTGAGAATGACTAATTTTAGCTCTGCCCCAGATAATGTAGAAATTGGCCATATCTTTTTCTACCAATTACCCAGGTCACTTTCTTCTATTAGGCCCTGGAAATGTACAGCCATAGACTCTACCTAATTTCCTGGGCCCTCTAAAATCGTACTAGCCCAGCCCGGCCTTTTAAACTGCCTTGAACAGGCAGGATTATTTTAAATACATGTGCTATTGTGGTTTTTAATGCTTATTTTGTCTTGTTAATTTTATGTTCATGCTGTTCTCTTTGTATGTATTGATTATGTCACTTGGAAACCGCCCTGAGTCCCCTTGGGGAGATAGAGGGGTATATAAATAAAGTTTTGTTGCTGTTGTTGTTGTTGTTGGAATCTATGGGATGGGGTGAGCTCCAATTGTTAGGCCCAGCTTCCGCCAGCCTAGCAGTTCAAAAACATGTAAACGTGAGTAGATCAATAGGTAACAGTACCTTCGGTAGGAAGGTAACAGTGCTCCATGCAGTCATGCTGGCCACATGACCTTGGAGGCATCTACGGACAATGCTGGCTCTTCGACTTAGAAATGGAGATTAACAACACCCTGCAGTCTCAGAAGTGACTAGACTTTACATCAAGGGGAAACCTTTATTTTTAACTCCCAGAAGCCTCCAAATCACTGTGCATACCAGCTGCGAGGGTAATTTTTCCGAGCCCTCCTCCAAGCTGTAGCTAACAATGTTGCAGGGATATTGCTCTTAGTGCCTCTTTCTTTCTGGTCTCTTTTCAACTCAATGTGCTTGATTTGTTCTTATTTCATTCTCCTTCCTGTGACTCAAAACAGAAACAGATGGTGAAGAACCAGACAAATTAAACCACACCAGCTTGAAAAATGGACATACCATCCCCATTGACTGTTCTGGTATTGTCAACCTTGCCCACCTGGAAGAAGAGACTGGAAAAAGAGCAAGTCTTAAGAAGCCAATCCCACCTGAGGAATCGAAGAAATTGCAAGGTAAGAAGCAGAGGGCTAGGGGCAGTAGTCTCTAATACATTAATTTTGTTGGCTGTTAGAAAGTCCATGTAAAAAACAGTTTGCAAGGACATGGAAACATTCATTTTTTTGGACTACAGTTTCCAGAAATCCCCGTCCAGCATGAACAGAATGACCCACATTAGCTGGGTCATTCTAGAAACTATAGTCCAAAAAAGTAATTTTCCAAAAAGTAACTTTCCCATACTCAAATCCATGGGTTCCCAAACTAAGGCCTGCACGCCAGATGTAGCCCTCCAAGGTAATACCCGCCCCCCTGCCCTAAATTCTAGACTTGAGGTCACCCTAAGTCTGAAACTACTTGAAGGCACACAACACCAACAATAACAATCCTAATTAACTTGACTCTCTCATCAGCCTAAAGCAGGCTCACACTTCCCATTGAAATCCTGGGAAGTTTGAGTTGTCAAAATTGTTCTTCATTTAAAATATTGCATGGTTCTTTCATTCTTTTTTTGAACTACAAACAAGATATGTCCCTTGCACACAGGAATTTGTTCATGTTTGTTTCAAACTATAGTCCGGGCCCCCAACAGTCTGAGGTATCATGAACCAGCCCTTGGCTTCAAAAGTTTGAAGACCCCTGCTTAAATCACGTCCTTTGGAATATCTCACCCATAGGGTTTCCTCATTCTGACAAAATCTACCCCACATCTTTACTTCCAAAAGTCTTCTACTACCAAGTTCGTCTCTCCTTGTCAACCATACCTCTGGCCAGACTTTATACTTTTCAGCTATGATATTGTTTTAATGTTGTTGCTGATGTGGTTTGCTGTGTTCTTATTTGATAGTTTTTAATGCTGTTGTTTTACCTGTAATTTTGGGCTTGTCCCCATGTAAGCCGCCCAGAGTCCCCTTGGGGAGATGGTTGCTAGGTATAAAAAATAAAGTTGTTCTTATTATTTGAAACACAACAAGATGAGTCCACAGCAGACACTCTGCTGGCTGTTGAATTGAATCACACGTCGGACACTTCCCAAGTGTGTAGGACTGTGTGATGTATCGGTGAATAATGCGTGCAGATCCCAGTAAGGTGGCCTTCTGCAGCGGGCAGATGGTAATTTTGTCAGCGCCGATTGTGTTTAAGTGCAGGCCGAGGTCTTTAGGCACTGCACCCAGTGTGCCGATCACCACTGGGACCACCTTTGTGCCAGAGTCTTTGTAGTTCGATTTTTCAATCCTCATATCGTGTCAGCTTTTCCAGTTTCTCTGCAATCCTGTGTTTACCTGGGATTGCGACATCGACGATCCATACTTTGTTTTTTAACACGTTTGTGAGGTCAGGAGTATTGTGCTCCAAAACTCTGTCAGTCTGAATCCGGAAGTCCCAGAGGAGTTTGGCGTGTTCATTCTCTGTAACTTTTTCCGGTTTGTAATCCCACCAGTTCTTTGTCGCAGGCAGATGGTATTTGTGGCACAAGTTCCAATGAATCATCTGAGCAATGCCTCTGCTTGTAGTCTGTTATGCCTCTGCTTGTAGTCTGTCTGCGCGATCTTCTAGCAGCAGCTGAGGATGTGATCTATTGTTTCATCTGCTTCCTTGCAGAGTCAACATTTGGTATCTGATGTCGACTTTTCAATTCTGGTTTTGATGGCATTGGTTCTAATGGCTTGTTCTTGGGCTGCCAGAATCAGGCCCTCCGTCTCCTTTTTCAGAGTTCCATTTGTGAGCCACAGCCATGTTTTTTCTTTGTCAATTTGGCTCTCAATTTTTCCCAGGAACTGTCAATGGAGAGCCTTCTTTTGCCAGCTTTCTCTTCTGCTCTGGATTGTATTTTTATGGTATTCCCTCTTTGTCTTTTGCACTTTAAGCAGTTTACTACTATTGACTTCCTTCAGTGTTGGTTCTTGACTGCCTTTCACATAATCTGCCAGTGCGTGTTTCTCTTCTTCTACTGTTTGTTTCACTTGCAGAAGCCCTCTGCCTCCTGATTTTCTGGGCAGGTGAAGTTTGTCAACATCACTACGCGGGTATAATGTGTAGTGGATTGTCATCAGTTTTCTTGTTTTGCTGTCCAGATCATCCAGCTCTGCTTGTGTCCAGTTCACAATTCCAGCAGTGTATCTAATGGCCCAGGTGTTGATAGCCTTGATCGTATTTGTTGTTGTTGTTGTTGTTATTATTATTGTATGGTGATTGCCAGTTTTCACCTCAATTCTTATTTAAGTCTGTCCATCAATATCAACCCTTGCTGCTTTCTGTCCTGTGCAACAAATAACTGTCTAGAAACCCCACCAATCCAACCATGTTCACCTTTCCCCCCTTAATTCTGGAAAATAATTTAGTGCAAATCTTTGGAATGGAATCTTAGTGACATGAATTGGTCAAAGATAGGATGGAAAACTGTAGAGATGTTCTCCTCCCAACTCTCAGAAAAGCCCTCTGCAATGCTTTGCCCCAAAACCAGGATTATATTCCTGGTATAATCTGGATTTAGTCAGGTATATAAAAGCAAACATGTGAGTATGGTTTTAGTCTATAGCCTTCAAAGAAGTGGAGTATTACCTTTTATAGTAGCTTAAGCCTTAGTAGACATGTCCCTTTTCCATTAAGAGTCCATTGTAGAACAAGTCTTCATAGGTATCGAAATGATGCATTGAATGGTTTCTAAGGTGCTGTAGCCTCTTTTTAAGTATGTAAGTGAGCTTAGTGAAATGTATTTTGTAAAAACATGTGTCTCCCTAAAAATGCAAATGATGTAGTTATACAGAAGTGTAACCTGAGATGCGATAGTCTTTCCCAAATATTGCTGTTTGTTAGGGAAAACTACCCTAATTATAGCAGAGCATCCAAAAACAAACAAGATACAAAAGTAGAGCATCAGCTCAGTAGCGAGCAGAGCATGAAGTGCCGTGTGATGTGGCTGTAAAGAATTCAGAGCTTAGGAGGCAAAGATGCAGAGTCCAATCTTTTAAAAATCACAAAAGGTATTTACAGTAATAAAGAACTACATTTCTTAATAATCAAGAGCTGAGTCTGAGCTACTCTAACACCCATCTCTTCTCAGGTTTCAAAGAGACGGTAAAAGTACCAATCACTACACATATCTTCTGACACACAAGCAGAGAGAGATCTCAAAGCACACAGCACATACTCTCCAGACTCAAGTGTAAGAAGGCAGAAGTCAAATTCAAAAAGCTTGCAGTAGAAAAGTATCCATTTTAAACAACTAGTTAGAATGAGAGCAGAAACAGAGAGAAGGAGACATGAGGGTATACTAAGCTAACTAACTTCTTGTTGAGGACTTGAGACTTGGGCAGTGTGGCGTTGAATTTCAACACTGTTAACACAGATTTTGGTTTTTTAAAATTTTTACAGGAACATTCAGCAGTGATCTCAGTTCAGAAGAGAAACAAAACCATGAGCCTCATGCCCCAAAACAGCCACTGCTTCCTCCAAAGCGACCGTTGTCATCTTCTTCTCAGGAGACCACTGATGTGCAGGCAAGAGATCTTGCCTCTGCCAGCAGCACTGCAAGGACTATGTCTTCCTCTACAGCTCCCACAACGACGACAAAAGGAGTGAATGTTTCCATTGCTCCTTCCCCGGCCCCCAGGACTGTGCTCCCTGTTCTGGCAAATGCTCACACTACAGCTGCCGTGAGTTCTGCTGTGCCTGCAAAACAGCCTCCAGTCCCACCTCCTAAGCCGGTTAATAGGAATAGCAACCCCTTAATAGGTAAGTTTCTTGGATGTGCGTTGGGCTTTGCTTCACCTCTGGGTTCCTCCTTATGTATTTATTTTTGATTGATACAAGTTCCATGTGAATGGGAAGAAATTTGAAAGCATATTGCAAAGTGAGCAAAACCGGGTGTGCTCATGTCAGCTTTCCACTTTTTAAATATGCTGGTTCTAACATTACATATTTGACCATCAATAAGTGACTCCGTAGTCTGCTACTTTGCAAAAATGTTCATCAACTTTGTGGGGGGATTTTTTCGTGTCAGGAGCGACTTGAGAAACTGCAAGTTGCTTCTGGTGTGAAAGAATTGGCCATCTGCAAGAACGTTGCCCACGGGATGCCCAAATGTTTTGATGTTTTACCATCCTTGTGGGAGGCTTCCCTCATGTCCTCGCATAGGGAGCTGGAGCTGACAGAGGGAGTTCATCCGTGCTCTCCCCGGATTCAAATCTCCGACCTGTCGGTCTTCAGTCCTGCCGGCACAAGGGTTTAACCCATTGCACCACTGGGGGTTCCAGCTTAGTGGTGACAATTGAATATCTGGAATAGATGTCACGGACTTCAACGTGTGTCTGTTCATGCTTTCGTCACTGTTTGAATTATATATTGATACATAGAAATGGGAAGTACATGGAGAATTCTAACTTCAGTCTTCAATCATATACCTTCACACTTCATAGCTGGCCTTCCAAATCCAATAATAATAATAATCATCATCATCATCATCATCTTTATTTATACCCCACCACCATTTTATCATTATTATTAATTTACAGTATTTTTGTACCGCTTTTCTCACCCCTAGGGGGACTCAAAGCAGTTTACACAAAACTTCAATGCCATACATTGGACACTGATGCGATTCCAATCCATAACAACCACAATAATAAAAACACAATTAAACATAAATCCTAATTAGACAGTACATAAGCAATCATTAAAACAATAAATAATAAAAACAGTCTCTCTCGAAGGCTTTCATGGCTGGAATCACTAGGTTCTTGTGGGGTTTTTTTCAGGCTATATGGCCATGTTTTAGAGGCATTTTCTCCTGACGTTTCGCCTGCATCTATGGCAAGCATCCTCAGAGATAGTGAGGTCTGTTGGGAGTTAGGAAAATGGGTTTATATATCTGTGGAATGACTGGGGTGGGGCAAAGAGCTCTTCTCTGCTGGAGCTAGGTGTGAATGTTTCAACTAACCACCTTCATTAGCATTTGAAGGCCTGGCTGAGCCTGGGGGAATCTTTTGTTGAGAGGTGTTAAGATGTGCCTGGTTGTTTCCTCTCTGCTGTTTTGCTGTTGTAATTTTAGAGTTTTTTAATACTGGTAGCCAGATTTTGTTCATTTTCATGGTCTCCTCCTTTCTGTTGAAATTATCCACATGCTTGTGGATTTCAATGGCTTCTCTGTGTAGTCTGACATGGTGGTTGTTGGAGTGGTCCAGCATTTCTGTGTTCTCAAATAATATGCTGTGTCCAGGTTGGTTCATCAGGTGCTCTGCTATGGCTGACTTCTCTGGTTGAAGTGTCTGCAGTGCCTTTCATGTTCCTTGATTCGTGTTTGGGCAATGCTGCGTTTGGTGGTCCCTATGTAGACTTGTCCACAGAAGCATGGTATACGGTAGACTCCTGCAGAGGTGAGAGGATCCCAAATGCTATGTTCAGCAAAGGACAAGAGGTCAAAACCAGCACTTTGAATTGAGCTCAGAGATGGTCTGGCAGCCAGTGGAGCTGGCACAACAGGGGGGTGGTATGCTCCCTGTATGTTGCCCCAGTTAGTAATTGGCTGCCGCCCATTGGATTAGCTGAAGTTTCCAAACCGTCTTCAAAGGCGGTCCCACGTAGAGCGCGTTGCAGTAATCTGTTTGGGAGGTAACCAGAGCGTGGACGACCGTGGCCAGATCAGACTTCCCAAGGTACGGATGCAGCTGATGAATGAGTTTTAACTGTGCAAAAGCTCCCCTGGCCACCGCCGAAACCTGAGGTTCCAGGCTCAGCGATGAATCCAGGATCACTCCCAAGCTGCGAACCTGCATCTTCAGGGGGAGTGTAACCCTATCCAACACAGGCTGTAACCCTATGCCCTGTTCGGCCTTTCGGCTGACCAGGGGGACCTCTGTCTTGTCTGAATTCAATTTCAATTTGTTAGCCCTCATCCAGTCCGACACAGCGGCCAAGCACCAGTTCAAGATCTGAACAGCCTCTTTAGTAACAGGTGGGAAGGAGTGACAGATTTGGACGTCATCTGCGTACAGATAACACCTTACTCCGAAACTCCGGATGATCTCCTCGGGGACAGTACTGAACCCTGAGGGACTCCACAAGACAATGGTTGTGGAGCCGAACAGGTGTCACCCAGTAACACCTTCTGAGTCCGACCCTCCAGGAAGGACTGAATCCACTGCAGAGCAGTACCTCCAAGTCCCATTTCTGCGAGGCGTCCCAGAAGGATACCGTGGTCAATGGTATCGAAGGCCACTGAGAGGTCCAGCAGAACCAAAAGGGACACACTCCCCCTGTCGAGCTCCCAGCAAAGGACTCTGAGCGGCTTACATGGGGCCAAGCCCGAACAACAAACTACAATATAAAAATACAAATTGCAGTAAAATAACCAACAAAACATTAGGGTATAAAACATCAAAACATATAAAACAATATACACAGAACATAGAAAACCAAACATAATGACAGAGAGTGGGCCGCATGTACATAAAATGATTTAAAAACTCCGGGTGAGATAAGGGGGGCAGAATGATTTCTTGAATGTAGTCTGAATAGTGAGTAAACCAAGGTATGGAAAATCCTGAATTATTTCATACAATCATAGAGTTGGAAGAGACCATAAGAGCCGTGCAGCCCAATCCCCTGCCATGCAGGAGCACACTATCGAAGACATCTTGACAGATAGCCATCCAGCCTCTGCGTTAAAACCTCCACAGAAGGGGACTCCACCACACTCTGAAGCAGTGTATCACTGTGAGACAGCATCATAAAAGTCTTCCTAATGTTTAGGTAGATCATTTTTTTCATATAGTCTGAATCAATTGCTCAATGTCCTAGTCTCTGAAGCAGCAGAAAGCAAACTTGCTCCATCTTCAATTCAATATCCTTTCAGGTATTTAAACATGGCTATCTTGTCACTTCTTAACCTTCTAAACATAACCAAGTCCCCAAGTTGTTCCTCATATGGTTTGGTTTCCAAATCTTTTGCCATTTTGATCACCCTCTTCTGGACACGTTCCAGATTGCCAATATCCTTCTTGAATGAGGTGTCCAGAACTGGACACAGTATTCCAGTTGAGATTTGACCAAAGCAGAATAAAGTGGCACTCTTACTTCCCTCAATGAAGATTCCATACTCCTTTTAAAAAATGGGAACATCCTTTGCCCTTTCCAACTCTGCTGGAATTTCTCCTGTTCCACAGGAATTCTCAAAGATTGTAGCCAATGGTTCTGAAATTATTATTATTATTATTATTATTATTTGAAACATTTGTATCCAGTCCTTTTCAACCCCGGGTTTGGGGGGGGGGACGACGACTCAGGGCGGCTTGTTACATCTGGCAGCAATTCGATGCCAATACACACAACAAAACAATAACACAAATTGACATTAATTAAAACAATAAGTTATAAAATATCCAATTAAAAACATTTCTAACAGCAATATAACCACATCCAAGTCCAGTTCAGTATCCAGGGATCCAGTCCAAAGCCTGTGCCTTATCTGTTCTCACAAATCATTGTGATTACTTGTTAAGCCTGCTACCCAAATGCCTGGTCCCAGAACCATGATTTGAGCTTCTTCCTAAAGGAAAGGATAGATGGAGCTGACCTAATTTCATTGGGGAGTCTGTTCACCACTTCTTGGTGGTGGCCCACAAACAGGGGGGGGGGGGTCACCACCAAGAAGGCCCTGTCTCTCGTCCTTGCCAGTTGCATTTGCGAAGGAGGCAGAATCGAGAGCAGGGCCTCCCCAGACGATCTTAGACTTTGAGGTGTATCATACAGACTATTCGGACAAGTAAGCTGAGCCAGAACCGTATAGGGCTTTGCTGCTGCCAGTTTTTCTAATACCCTTGGATGTAGTCCAATCCGACGGATTTTATTGGTGAAGTTGAGATTTTATGGACCATAATTTGCATTTACACTCTTTGCATTGTCAGAGTCACGCCCATCTCGCCACTTGTTGGGCCTTCTGATCTCACTTTTGTTTCTTCTTCTTATAACTGTGCTGTAAACACTTTAAACAACTGATTTTAAAGTCGTTATAACTCATTTTAGTGTTTCTGCATATTTATAGTTATTAGCTTGAGGACCCGGTGGTGCCCGGGTTATTTGAGAAAGGCATGGTTTCTTTTTCGAAGTTTGGTAATATTGGTTTGATAATGCATAACGCTATTTATTAGAAAAAAAGCTAGTCTTTGCTTTTGTTTTTTTATGAATGCTCCCATTAGAAAAGGCATAAGGATGTGGGTGAACTACAATTCCCAGAATCGTGGGTCAATCCTTTCCAAATCCTACTATTTTTCAATGTTGGCCATGTTGGGTCTATGTGCCAAGTTTGGCCCAGATCTGATATCAGCTGGGTTCAGTGCTCTTTGGATAATGGTGAACTACAACTCAGCCTCTGTATGCTTGTCCACTATGCCCTGCCTCATGTACAGAGGAAGAATTGTTGGAGGCTACGGACAATGCCATTGCTGGGTTGTTGTAGGTTTTTCCAGGTTATATGGCCATGTTCTAGAGGCATTTTCTCCTGACGTTTCGCCTGCATCTATTGCAAACATCCTCAGAGGCAGTGAGGTATGTTGGAAGTAGGAAAATGGGTTTATATATCTGTGGAATGACCAGGGTGGGACAAAGGACTCTTGTCTGCTGGAGATAGGTGTGAATGTTTCAACTGACCACCTTAATTAGCATTTGATGGCTTGGAAGTGCCTGGGGGAATCTTTTGTTGAGAGGTGATTAGATGTGCCTGATTGTTTACTCTCTGT